ATTATTTCCGTTTTTCCTAAATTAAAATTCGTTTCTAATCGCTACAATTGACACAGTCGTATACAAAAGTGTGCTATGTATATACAAACCGTGCAAACGTTTCGTTTATATGTCTTTATCGGTTGACTCAATTCCAATACAAAACCCAACCGTGGTCTACGACTAGAATTATTCCTTTTTAAAAATTTTTTACCGTTTTTAAGTAAAAAATCTACAATTATTATGCCGGCCGTATAATGCCAATAATATACGGTCCGATTTAAATGGCATCGAACACGAGATTCGAAGGTCGGGGGAGATGATTTTTTGACATTAACGATCCACGGACACCCAATTTCAATGGTCCGTGGAAACCCAAAGGATTTGCTTGTCAAAAATAAAAAATAAAGAAAACACCCCGAGACCGCCAAGTTAATGACGGCGTCTTGAACCCTAGCGGCCGTGATGTGACTTATAACAAGGATCGACACACTGTTACTGGAAAATAACACTTGTCAAATTGACATTTTCAAACGCCGAAATAACGCAACTTTACATTTTTATTATTATTTTTTTTTTTTTATAAATCTTACCGAAATTGGTCGCGTTCTCGTGGCCGCATTAGACAGTAAAAAAAAATAAAAACAGGACCAATAAAGTCAACCTATAATAATAATTGGGTCAATTCCCAGAGTGCGGACCGACAAAAACTCATTTCTCGCCCTGATAATATATTTCGACCAAATTGGTTTATTCGAAGTAATTGTCGGCATTCCGGTTATGAAGTTTATTTATGCTGGCAGTGCTGCGTCCACCGCCTGTTATATTTCTGCCCTTATAAAATGTCGACAAATAATTCGTAACCCAGACTTGACGCGACCATTACTCAGTTGTACATTTCAAATTATTAATGAATAAAACGGCATTTGGCTACTGTTTTAATTTTTAAGCGTCGAAATTTCCACGACTCTAACGTGGGCGCAAAAATAATTTCCGTGTGAAATAAACACAAAAATGTCCATTTATAACTTTACTTATTCCAAACCTTTAAAGGTTTAAATGTACATATATATGCTCAATTTCGGCACTCTCAAGTGTGTGTATGTGGTGTGGTTTTTTTTTTTGTGGGTAGGTATTTCTGATAATTTTGTATTTGTGGTGAACGATGAATGACAGCCAAAATCTTCACATTTTAAGTTTGTTATACGCTTTGAATAAAAATGTTTTTTTTTCCATCAAAATCGAAACCTTAAAACATTACCTTTTATTTGATATAATGCAACACGACGCGAAGACAATTTTCTCCTTTTTAGTTATTATGCATTATTATTTATTTATCGTTGGAAATCACCAAAATAATTTGGTTTTTAATGAAAAGTAAGGACATTACTATCAGTTAGGCTCTGTTCAAAAATATATCGACGATTGAGCAATTATAATTATTTTTAATACAAGCAAAATGTTCAACAATTGTCAAGTAGGCACGATAAGGATTTCATAGAGGTATAAGATTGGGTTGATTTCACGCGAAAACTGCACATTATTAAAACTTACAAACCGAATGTAAGTTTCTAATTCCTATAACCTTTTTCTAAGGCTTACACTGTTTACCGAATTACTTGAACACAGATAGTAAATCAGGGATCACAGGTGCAATCGAGATACAACTTCTCGTTTCTGAAAAATTACTTTTTGTTTTTAGGAAATTGTGTTACCTTTTAGCTTTATATATATATTATAAATGCTTCGAACCCGAACGACTCGATAAGTTTTTATTTATTTCTATAGCAATCTCCCCAACTTATAATCGAAAGTATATAAGTATATATATATTGTGTATAAAAACGATAGGACCACTATACTCTGTATGTGTGTGTGTGTGTCAGATAATATACTCTTATTTTCTTATTTTTTTATTGTGTGCATTCGATATAGCTCTGTAAATTTATATACAAAATATAAATGTTACATTACTACGGTCTGCTTCGTAAACAATTATTTTATTGTCTTACTACAAATATTTATATTTAACGTTTAGTTTTCAAATATAACAATGCTACCGCTATAAAGTAGACACGTTCAATGCGTTTTCGAAGATAGCATTAGTCTCATAATAATAATAATACTCCCGGTATTATTTATGCCTAGTTATGTAAATATATAATTTCATTTTTACCCTCGAATATATTAATAACATTTAAGTATAGGCGTTACCTGCAGTTTGTGCTAAACCTGGTGCTAAATCCATTACATAATATATATTTATTTCGGTTAGAGACCCACAAAAAGATAGTAATATTATGTTCGCGTCGTGTTTTTGGTCGGAAATCAAATGTTAATGGCACGAAAAATGTTTCAATGATATTTCCCAACATTATAAATTTAAAAATAAATAAATACTTTATTTTTAAAACTTCAAACGAACTTTGAATGTGAATGCCCATTGGTTAAAAGATTGCTGACAATGCTCTTATTACTACTGCTCACGGACAAGAGTATTAGCGTATAAAACCGTTAAAAAACTTAGCCAAACTTATGAAAGTCAGTGGTCTCTCGGTCTGCAAATACACGTCGGTATTGGCCAAAGTAAATACGCCCCGAGCTAAGTAAGGTCCGGCCAATAAAAACGAGATCGACACCTAGACGAGGTTTTCGATTGGAACGCGAAAATTGTCGATTCAATCCTCGATGAGTAAATAAAAGGTTTGATATAAAAAAAAAAAAACCGAATGAATGAATGAACTAAAGAGAGAAATAGAGAATAAGATGGAGTAAAATAAAAATCTCTACGGAAAAACAAACAACATTAGAACCGCGTGTGGAGAGCCGAAGAAGTGTGTTGTCATTGTGCGCGTTTTTCGTTTATCATCGTTTGGGCGGTATAGCTAATGTGTTCTGTTTTTTTTTTTTTCTTATATTCTCACTCGGTCCCTCGGACTCGTGTCTACCTCTCACCACCGGCCACCGTGCTCTATGCATTTCTGCGAGGTTGGAAAAGTCAATATTTTATATTTCATCGAAGAAGAAAAGGGACTTTTCGACTACCGGAACGGCGTATATAACTCTCTCGACCCGAACGCATTCGCACACAACCGCCGCGCCGTTATCCCGTATAGTACAGTCGGAGAACGGGAATTACAATGAAAATGATATACAGCTCCACTGCCGCCGCCGCCGCCGCAAAATATAACCTTCTGCCGACTTTGTATATATCTATATATAATATAATATGTATTTCTGTGTGCTATATACGAGTGTCCCGGAGTCCTGAAACTTATGGTCCCTCCCTCGCCCGTGGCCCGCCGCTGTCGTTAGAAATATTTTGCGTGTAAACCGGAGCTCTCGTGACAAATAGTCAAGTCGCCCGGCATAAGCTCATTGGCGTACCGCCACTACATTTTATCGTCGAGGTAATATTTCTACAGGTTTACAATGTTTGGATGGGGGAAAAAAGGAAAATTTACTATAAATCCGGTAAGAAACGACGATTCGCCGTCAAATCTATGCGGGATACATGCGAATTTTATGTTTCCCGGAAAAACTTAAAACATACATCATAGAACAGCGAGAGATCAATTAAAAAAAAACAAACTTTATATAAAAAATAATAAAATGTACAATTTTATTTTGATTCGAGATAATCATAATTTCAAATTGTTTTTTCGACAAATTTAAATAAAAAAACGATTTTAATAAATTTTCAATTTATAAAATCTAATAAATAATTGTTGATCTATTTAAAAAAAACAACCAATACCTTCTCAGTTCCAGTTCCGCATTGAAACTAACATTGAAAAAACACATCATTGTAAAAAAAAATACCTTCTCAGCTTGTATTGCTGAAATGCCTTACTACCATGATCCTTGAGTAAAAGGAAAGCGTTCCGAAATAAAAGAATTTCAGGAATGAGTAAGCTTGGAATTCCTCGTTTTCAAAGTAAAAACCGAGAAACTGGGGAAACATTTTTTTTTATAAACATGAAAGTAAACAGCTATAGTTTCTTTTGCACAATTGTTTTTTCCAAATAGTTTTTTTATTAACATATTTTTTATTATTATAATGGTTGTACCTAAATATTTAGTCGTATGAGTGATGTCTGGACTTGACGTAGCTCCAGATTTAACTTGGTTAACTATGGTAATCATGTTGAACGATATTGGCACTCCAAAAGCATCATCTGCATAATTACCGCATTTGAAGTTAAGAAGCTGCAGTTCATATTGTATTTCAAATTACATCGTATTTAAACTCACGACGGCTATAGCCGCCTAATGTATAATACATAATAACAGATGTGAATAATAAAAGACAGTGTATTCTAATAATAAAATAATCATTTCATTTTCGTCACTCTATTAAACAACCAAATAATCAACTTTATGTGTAAAATAAATTACCTTATATTACATATAATTATTATTATCAGTACTTTAAACAATATAATTAAAACAGACAGCGATTGAAGTAACTCCTACACGTGGTATGTCAACACTTATAAACTTCTTACTTTATATAGAATACAAAATATTAATACAAAACTTTCTCTAAAATTAAAATTAAATTATAAAGTTGCCTTAAAACAAAGTATCCACACTCGACCCGTAAAGGTTTTTAAAAAATCAATATTAATTATTAAATCGTATTTAATGTAATTCCTCGTTTCGGCTGTATATAAACAGTCGGTATTTTATTTAAACAAATAAGTAATAACTATGCATAATATATTTTGATAATTGCTTTACTTTTGGTTGTCCGTATTTAGAAATCTCGTTTCGGTTATAAAAATTAAACCCACACGGTACACGACGAGGTGTATACTACACGTTTTTTATTATATTATATATATATACACGTATAATTTTTTTATAAACTACATAATAATATCACTTAACAAATTTAATTTTAATTTTACAATTATTAGATCATAACGAAAGTTAACGATGGCAAGTTTGTTTTGAAATATTTCGTATATTTTGTTGTCCGGTCCAATCCATCGTTACATTATGACTTTCAATACATATTTTGATTTGTTTTTGTTTTTTTTTTTTTTTTACAGTTTTACAACATTAGGACGGTGTCAGTCTGATGTTGGCCCAGTCGCTACGTCTCACTTGCGCATCACCCATATGTCTTTGTTCAGCCGACTTACTAAGAAAATCGCAGCCACCATGACGACCGACCAACCGAAAATCGACGCGAACCCGGCTATAACGGGCGCGGTATCAAACCACCAGCCCTTGGCGGTAATGGCCAGTAAGGCCCTGACCGGCGCCGTCATCGGCAAGAACGGACCGTACGTTTTCAGAAGGTAGTGGGCACCCTCCAGCGGCCAGACCAAACCTATCGGGATGTAATCGAAAAATGTCAAAATGCAATTTTCAAGTTTGCAAGTAAACAATAATGTTTGTGAACAAAATCTGTTGAATATTTACCGCACGTGAAAGCCATCATGATGTTGCTGCCGGTGCCGATGTACGCGGCAATCGAAAAGTCTTGGCATAACGCTCCGATCAGGAATCCTGTATAAAAAAAAAAAAATTGCCAGCCGTCAATCACACGCCATCGACACAACTATCGAATCATCACCGGCAAACTTACCGAAAATCATCCCTTCCATTCCCAGCAACATCAACAGCAACATGGTGGGAAAATGACTGCCCAAGTACGGATTGTCAAAGTGTATGTACATGACGTACATGGCCAGCAGTGTTTGCAAACCATGGATTGCCATTTGAATGATGACCGTGGACACTAACACTTCGGTAAACTTAACGCCTGGAAAACACGATGACGGTTAAGATCCACCAAGAAACCCGATTAAACATTAATAAAAATAAATGCGTTCACGGCAATTGTGTGATTTCTATAATGATAATTAACGGTCGCCTTGAAAGCGCGCTAATCCGACGGGGGAAATCCCACGAGGAATCACAAGTCAGCAAAATACTTGATTTGGAAACGGATTTAAAATTATTTGGCAAACTTACCGGAAACCATCATTCTTTCCATCATGCCTTCCTTCTTTTCCGTGAGAATCAGACCTGCCGTCAACAACACCGGCAAGTAGTAACAACACCTGTCAAAACGCATCATCATGGTATATTTTACGAGTATAGATTTCAGTCAATAACAATATAGCTACTCACTAATATAATATAATCACTTCCTTATAGCAAAAAAAAAAAAATGTTAATGTTTTAAAAATGTTTGTAAATAATTTAAAATCACGTTTTGGCAGCAGATTAAATAACGTTAAACAAAATCTTGTTTAAATATTGCTCAATTTATTTTATCATTTTAAAATTGTTTATAATATTACAAACAGCAATTAATTAACATTGGAAATATTTTCATAATGCTAAAACAATATTTTTAAAACGTTTATTCTCATCTCAAAAGTATCATCAACAATATTTTAAAAACGTTAACATTTTTTTGCTGCGCGAGTTTAATTATGATTCCTATTTTGTATGTAATGTTTTTACATTATTCCTAAGATAAAGATATTATATCATAATTAATCCTTTTTTTTTCTAAATACATCAAAGTCGCTATTTTTTATGAATCAAAATTCAAATACCCTTTGTTGCTTTTAAATTATTCAAAATACCGGGCAGTTGTTTAATAGGACATACTACTTTATCCGTTATTCTAATCATCCATGTTGAATGACCCGTCGATTAATCCACTAATAAATAGAAATGGTTCGACCGGGTGTTTTCTGACAGCTGCTGTTATCAATGACGGATCATACAATTTCGAAATAATAGTTTTACGAAAATAAATTTACATACCTGTTGGTGTTTTTGACACCTGTTAACTAACTTTTAATCAAATAACCGATCTCGTCGTACTATTATTGATTACCTAACATTTTCCGTTACATTGCATTACTTACACATTTTTTAAAACCGCGGATAAACGAGATACCGACTTGAGCTAATTCACCACGAATACATATCAAATATAGATGAAATTGAATTTAGCATATAAATGTTATACTTACAAGCACAAGATGGCAGCCGAAGCGTAATGGATGAACGATGTATGTATCGAGCCGTACACCGGTGTTTTGAACTGGAAAAAGGAAACATGTTGTCGATAAATACATGAAAATTGTGTTTTTCCCTAGTGGGTAAATCATTTAAAAAAAAAAAAAAAAAAACCCCAACCGATATAGGAATGTTTGCAATTTTTTCGTTGACATTGCACCGGCGTAAAGCTCCTTGCAAGAATTCTTGAGTGGTATACAGTACGTTCGCTTTTACCATGTTTCCAATGTATTGATCTTAAAATAACAATGAAACGTTTAAAACACCGACTTTAAAATAAAGCCCAATACATTCAAATTGATATACATTTCCAATACGGGCTCCACATTGTACGAATAGTGTCTTTTAAATTCTAATTATTATAATCAAATAAAACTAAGTTACCCGACAAGTCTATCCATGCTTGGACCGTACTGCTCTCCACGTGATATTCCGATGTCCTGGTGGCATTTGCGAATCGCACGGCCATGGAATTAGTATAGTTAACAGGGAAATACAATAGTCCCCAAGCGTAGTTCTTTCTCACGGCGGCCAAAGCAGTCCTTACGTCGTCGAAATGAGTCTAATAAAAACAATACATTATTTGTCTTTTCCACTAATCGTGCAACTTAACGCCTGTATGTACACTCTAAGAGGTGCTTACGATTTTCAGAGTTTTGCTTTTGATTTGGTCTTCGAACGCACAGCTTATCGTGACACTGTTTGGATCGTCGAGGAAACATCCGCTGTACAAATCAGGATTGCATTCGGCTATGCCTTTAGAGGCTACTTCTTTGTTGACAACCGCTATGCTTAGACCTTGGGGGTCGTGACCGATGGCCAGATTGAAAAAGTACGTTTGCACTAACGGCAGCAGAAACAGAAAACACAAAAACCTAAGAACATAATACACACATTGATTGTTATTGAAACGAACCTCTTATTTTTTTTTTAATAAACAATTTAATTGCAAAACAAATTATTGGTTTCGAAATAGGATTGCCACTGAGTGGGACTGACCGTTCTGTCAAACTAGCCGTATTGTTTATCGTTCATACTTACATAGATTACCTACTTAATTATTGTGTTCAAAAAGTAATCGGAGATTAGTAATTCGATTAAATTATTTAAACTACATTATGTATTTTTCAGTGCAAATACATCAGATTTTTTTATTAGAAATTATTTTATACTCGAAATGCATTTCTTCTGTATTCATATGTTCAAAAAATTGTATACATAGCATTAACGTTGGAGCTTTTATTGCATTAGCGCAGCTAATAATAAAAGCTAATTTAGCTGTATAAGATTGGTTTGCTAATTAGGATTTTTTTTTATTGTTTCCAAGAGTTGCTTATTAAATAAGCTTCTACCGGATTTAGACTAAAAATCAAACTTTGTTTTTTAATTTGCCTAAAGTGTAGGTGGAATAATTTTGTTTTATAATTGGATACAATTTAGGATTTCAGGTAGAAAATTCGGTTGAAAAAAAAAACTGTTAAATGCCTAATAGATATTTAATAATTTTAAACGTACGAATAAAAATATTTAACAAAATATATAATATCAAACCTAATTACTTCTATTTATTTATTTATTCGTATGACAAATTACAAACCATTTATAGAATTACTTCTATAAATGGTTTGTACTAATAGGTATAAACAACTTGGTAATAATGCAACTATTATGATGGTATGTCTTTCTATGTTTAAAACTATTTATTTCAAATATACAAACTATATTACATTTTTAAAATATGTTATTTTGCTAACCTTTTTGCGGGGGTTCAGACGAATTAAACGATAGGCCTTTTTGAGGCATTTTTACGAAAGATGGACATTTTGTAAATTGTATTTTTATAAAACTAGCACTTTATACTACTACAACTTTAAATACAAATATATAAATTACTCACGGTTTTTGTTGCCATAATAAAGTTAAGTTTTTGTACATAAGACAATTCATTCGGTTCATCCGGAAGAATCCATCGTTTAATTTTGTTTGTGTGGCTTTTCCTCTGTTGAAATATGATTTATTATACGTGTCGTTGACCTGCTGATTGACATAATATTGTTATATTATATTATAAGTAGCTAACACTTGTCGACCGTTAATTACCTCAGTGTTGGCAGACATTTCTTGCTTACGGCTAAGTATTAGAAAAGCCTCTTCTAAGGAATTAGCGTTACAGCGCGCCATTAGCATTTCTGGGGATTCTTCGGCTAACAAAACTCCTTCTCGCATCAAGCCGATCTGACAACAACAAGAAATTGAATGACATTTGCCATCATCCGATGAAAAATCATTAAAAACTCACTAAATTTGCTTGCCTTGCTTCTTCGATGTAATGTGTGGTAATAATAATCGTTTTGCCGTTTGCGGCAAAAGACACTAGATGATTCCAGATACTGTAATACAGGAATCACATGGTTATGTTTACTAGGACACTAAGCATAATATTATTGTGTTTAGTACATTACCTAGAGCTCAATACTGGATCCAAACCAACGGTCGGTTCGTCTAAAATTAAAATATTAGGGTTGTGCAAAAGAGCCACTCCTAACGATACTCTTCTTTGTTGTCCTCCACTGAAATCCGAAAAAAAATGTTTTAACACAATGGACTTTTGTTAGTTTATGATAATAAAACTAATGTTCCAAATATGATTTATGCAACCATACCTTAGTTCTACGACTAATCTGTTATCAGGCGGCAATTCCAATAACAATGAGAGATCTTTGGCCCGCTCTAAAATTAGTTGTTCTGGCATGTTCAACATTTTACCATAAAATTTGAACGTTTGTAATATCGTTAAATGTTCGTGTAAATTTAAATCCTAGACCAAAAATAAAAATAATGGTTGCAATGTCTAAATAACATAACGACTATAATTTTATTCTACAAAAATAAAAATTAGCCGTGATCAGAATTGTATAAATAAATTACTTGTGGCATATATCCTATGTCTTCTCGTTTGGTTGCTTTAAGAATAATTTCACCGGAATCCAGACTAGTTCTGCCGACGATACTGCTAAGCAGTGTTGTTTTGCCACAACCACTGGGACCTAGTAGTCCGTATCTGAAATAAATAAAACCAATGAATAGTAACAATTAGATAAAATAGTAGACTATGCAAATACTCAATTATTCATTGATTTAAATATTTCCGAAAAGATATTAAATTATGCACCCGCATGTTAGAATTTAGATCAAAAAATGTTCCCAATAATTGTACTATAATTTGTACCAATTTGACTACAAACTAGTGAATTTCAATTCTAAACTAATAAATTCATGGTTGTTTTAATATGAACAAAAATGTATTTATTTATGTTTTGCAAATGTTTTAAATATTAATTTGAGATGTATAAGTACCTCCTAATTAAGTTGTTGTATGTTAATGATAAAAACAATTTCAGATTTGTAGCAAGGTCTGAATTTAAGATTTGTTATGTAACATTAAATTTATTAGTAAAACAATATACATGTAAATTTTGAAGAAAAAAAATGACCTTGTACTGTATTGCAGACGAAATAACAAATTTAAATGTTTTAAAAAATTAAAATAATATTATAAATGCTGAAATTTGTATTTTTCTTCAACTTCTTTGATAAACTAGTTGTTAGATGAAATGTATAATTTTTAATTTTATTTAATTCATATTTTTTAAGTTTTAAATTTTAAACTAGTAATTTAAAGAAACGAGGGGACGTAGTAGGTGACATTTATACACAGATGTATGTTTTGCTATTATTTCGCCTGCTATGGAAATTGTCAACAAATAATAACAACAACAAAATTTAATTTAAACCAATGAAAGAAACTTTTTGTTTACAAGCCAAAAATGTAATCGAGTCAGTTAAATATTTTAGACAAATGTCAACCTTAAATTCTCTAGGTAAAATCACACTTATGAAAATAAAACTATAACATATTATTTAAAATGTCGTTGTATAATTTTTGATTTAAACATAATTGTGTTTTACGAATACAATAGAATTGGTACAAAAAACGGGAAATAATTGCGTTTTTAATATTATATCTAATGTTATAATTTAGTTTAGAAAAAAATTCCATTACGGTAACATGACATTTTTTTATCAGGCATGAAAAAAAAATACACATGAATTTACCGCTACTGCGACAAATAGAAAATTAGTAAACACGACGCAGCATCTATTATACACGCTTATTGCGTTTATAATTACTTGCCGAGCGTCATCTCCATGATTACCATCTTCAGGTACGCTTGCAGATTTTATTAAAAATAAAACATGTTTTTGCACATTCATCCTACATAAACCATTCCAACAACTTATGAGACATGGGAATTTACAGTTCATTCAAGGAAAATCGTAAAAGAAACTATTAATTAAACCAGCAAATGTGACATATTATTATACTCATTAGGTACAAAAAAAAAACCGTTTATTACAAATTAAGCGTTTATGATCAAATTATTGTTTAATGCCGTTTAAAAAAGTACAATTTTTTCGGTAAAACCCCTATGTGAAATAAATATCCATTAAAAATCTGAATTTTCTGTATTAATTAAGTAGATACAGTAATTGTTGGTTGTAAAATAATAAACAAACTTACCTAATTTAATATTATTAGTTCATTGATAAGAAACAATTAACTAGTAATACATTTTTATGATTGTCATATCATAATAGTTTTCGAACCTCTTAACATGTAATAAAAATAAATAAAAACACTATTGGATTGTAAAATAATTATCTGTTAGATCATAAAAATGATACAACTTATGATGTTGCTATAAACTACCATGAGTAAAATTAACCGGCAAACTGGTTTTTGTAGATCTCAAGTTCAATGATCTAAGCAAAAAATATTGTAAGCGTTCAGTTGTCAGCCAATGAACATTGAATTTCTTTAATATGCTAAAAATATGAAATATGTTATGCCGTAACAGGAAGTAATTAACACTCTAGTTTTAAAATATTATTTGTATTAATAATAAACGCTGGTTTAAATTCAATTTAATATAAAAGCATTTGTCTAAGCCTCGTGAATTTTATTTGATTAATTTTAGCCCATGGAAATTCATATAAATTATAATAGCCAACCACGATTTAATTTAATTGATAATGGTTAATATTATTATTTATTGATTGCCCACATAAAAGGTGTTACGTGAGGATCACTATGTTTGTAACTTCACCTAAGTACACGACGACTCTAAATCATTGAAGTTTGAGCAAAATCATAACTCTAACAAATTAATTGTCGTTTTAAATATGTAATTATAGTGTATGCGTTTAATAAATATTGAAATCAACTGATTTATTATTGAAATATATGTAATATAAAATTATAAAAGCACATAATATTCAAAGTCCGTCTAAACACTAACGTTGAAAGCTGTTCTGTAGCCAGAAAATTTATTTTTGGAGAGGGAGGGCACTAGTTTATAAGACCTAAAGAATAGTGTATAATATATGTTTTACGGTGGACATCATGTCCAGCATTAAAAAATTGAAAATATATTTTAGGAAAGCATGCCCCCAATGCCCTCTCTCTGCACCCCCGTCTGCGGCATTGTTGATAAAAATATTTTTTGACACAAACAAGATTCGAGTATAGAAAGTACAAAATAAACCTAAGGCTGAACTTAATTCATACTATCGTCATGATGTTTATAACCCAAAAGAAAGATATCAGACCATAGATATATATAGTATTGACTCTTGAGGATGGTTTTTTAATCATTAAAAAACATAGCAATGTATGAGATGAAGTTAAAAACACAAACCTTCTATTGAAATATATTATTTGATTTCCGTAAACAAATAACGTTTTTAAACAATCATATTTTATTTATGGCTCGAGTTATTAGACTGTAAATTTAAGACTAGGACAAGCATAGAAATAATAAACAATTCTTCTCCAACTTCGCCTTACACTTCCAACTACATGGGGTCGACCACCATATTCCTACACCTTCATAGAGCTCGATCACCCCAGCTATCCTCATATCACTCTCTATTTCGTCCATCCGTCTTTTCTTCGGTCTTCCTCTCTTTCCCTCTACATTCATTTTTATAACAGCTCTCACTGGCTCTGCCTCATCTCTCCTCGTAACATGATCGAATCATCTCAACCTATTCTCTCTCATTTTCCCATCATAAAAAATAATAAACAATATTTTTCGAGAAAAACAAATTGTTTTAGCCTATTTGACCTTAACTGCTATAAATTAATAGCTCATCTCATTGGCTTGTTGAAACATTTAATGGGAGACTAATAAAACTGTACATTGTTTTATACACTAATTGGTTTAGTAAATATTGTACTTTAAGAGGTCGGACATTAATAATGGGAAATAATAGACGATTTATAAATCTGAACGGTGTATTAATTGTTTGCACACATTTTCTCTTTGCACAATACCATTTTGACCGGTCTCCAAACCCGAAAAATATCTTAATTTATAACACATATATACGATAGTTCGATCGTCCGTGTACTTAAAATTAGGTACCTACATTTTGCCTTTCGGTACGGTCATGTTCAATCCTTTGAGTATTACGTTTTTCGAATACATTTTTACTGCTTCCTTGATCGAAATCGCTATTTCCTCACCACCTTGAGATTGATTAGGCGGCGGACGCGACCCGTTGGCACCAGAGTCTAAGGAGATTTCCTCCATGATCAGCTGCTACACCTGATAACACACAATATACAATATTAATGTACAAGCAATGTTCGTTGTAATACTAATTAATAAAAAAAAAAGACAAACCCTAGATCTGTGACCGGACACATTATAAACGCGCAACGAGTTTGTCGGCTCACGTGGAGGAGAACTGGTTGGGTAACGTGCTTTTAGAGGTCACGTGACGGAAAAAGAATACTATGCTTCCTATTCGAGTAAACGCCTACTCTGTCTAATGACACATCACTATTTGTCCGGATATTATCATGTTTAATTAACCGAGAACCGACATTATACCTAGTACCAAAATCAAAGTCACTTAAGCTGTCTTGGTCGACATCATCATCAACATTGCGGTAGGTAAATATTAACTCTAAACATACATATCATTGCCTTCGTTAAGGTTTTAAAATTGTAAAAAAAAAAACCAAAAATTAAGATAAGTAGTTGCAGCATAAAAGGTGGTCGCAAAAAATAATTAGCGTTGAAATATGCCAGAGTTGTTATTATACAGAATGATTCATTAACGATAAGACTCTAATTTTTGTCTGAAAATAATTACAACGTTTTTCTTCTTAAAAACATTTTTGTTTATGTTATTTTACAATACTAGTAACGTATCTTATTTAATTGCGAATAATTTGCTGAAAACGTTCATTGTTCGATAACCAGTTTTGGATAGTCACTTTTAAAGTTCAAAAGCATAATTTTTAGAATGGGAGGAAGAAGAGTGTAGTATACATTTTATTTGCGCGCATTACTCTATAGCAAATAGACTCCCATCCTAATTTTTAAACTTTAGTAACTTTAAAAATAATTATTCAAAACTGGTTATTGACCAGTTGAAGTGTTTAGCAAATTATTCGTAATGCAGTAGGTAAATTAATTAAATGTAGGTACACGTTACCATTTAAGTTTTAAAAGTTAGGAGAGAGATTTAGTCGGTCAAACTTACTTTAAAAGAATTAATTTACAAATCCTCCATTTACTAAGTTTTTAAAAAAATACATAAAAAAATGAATAATTCATCATGGAAATCATAATGTTTTTTTAATTGAAATACATTTTTACTAATATAAGGATTAATTGTTCACTCCAAATGTTTCATGTGTTTATATTTTGTTTAGAATTTAGTTATCATCAAGTACCTAATAAATAATATAATAAGCTTTAGTGTTGTTTCTTAAGCGAATATAAAACTATCAGGTCTATTTTCAGAGGATAATTGATTACAATTTAGCTACATTTTTTAATATACTGAGAAATACTATACTTTTATTCGCTCAAACAGGAAGACGAAGGTCTTCAACTAAAACATTAATGCCGGGTTGCATAAATGATCACTAAGCGTTTTATGAACCAATAGATGTTTAGTGGTTTCTTAAACATAATTTAGTGGCTTGTCATTGGCCAATTAAATTTTAATGAACCATTAAATGTATTGATTCTTTATGTAACTCAGGATAAGTATTAATATTTTTACAAATTTCGAGCCTATTTGCAAGGATTAAGTATGAAGTAAAAATACGACCAACATAGTGTATATACATCAATTATTATCAGCGTAATTTTCTGTTTTACCTAATCTCTGTAAAAATATATAACGTCAAATGTTTTTTTGACTAGAAATGATTACTGCAAGTATTCCGAGAAAGTAAGCTCTAAAATTGGCAATCGTTAACACATCGAATAGACTTAAATTACATAAATTAAATCGTTAAGGTGTATTTATTGACAGTAAAAAATGCAAATTAATTAAAATAAATAATACTTATAAGTATTATTATAATAATTATAGCACCGGAGTTTTCAGAGTGTTGCTTATTTGCACATGAACCCAGGCAATGACCTCTGTAACGTGAATTTGTCTGTAAAACGGTCTGTGAACTGATTTCATAAGAGATCAAAGTGAAGTTTTAACCGTACAATAAACAGACGTTATAAAACAATAGCATTTACTGACCAGCTAAAATGAGTCAACTAAACAATAATAAGGCGATGGCGCGGTGTCTGATGCCAAAAATTGTAATATTATATTAGAACAAACTGAACAACAATATCCACAACAAAACAGTATTCAACAACTACCTGTACTTATTTAATTGCGAGAAGCTGTATAATATTTTTGATGGATATAAGCAAAGAGCAAACCCATAAGTTGACAAACTAAACTATTAAGATACATTAAACATTTTTTAAATGCATTGATCACCATATGTCTATACATGATATAGAAATTTTATGAACTTTCGACTTAGGAAATAATTCTCTCAAAAATATGTATTTTCACAACAAAATTCGTATTAAAATTGATTTCAAATTATACTGAATTTTTAACACAACGTTATTTCCAGCTTCTAAGCAAGTAGCCATACAACGGTAACCGTTTTATTGGACTTATTTAAGTTCTTCATCTTGGTCCAATAACCAGCGCATTGAAATGTTGTGCAACTGAATTCTATACAAATGTCAATTAGCAGAACTTCTATCACGTTGTAGAAATGCCTTATTATTTACTCAGAATACATTAATTTTTAACTACCTCCAGCCGCAGAACCGCACGGGTACCTTGTTGTGTTTCATGGTCTACGCACATGGGTGTCATGTACATTGTACTTCTACTATTCTTTCATTATCTTTTAATCGGGTCAAGCATATTTTAAAAAGCAAAAACATTAATTTTTTTTTTTTTTGCTTCATAACAATACCTTTTGTTTTACTGTCATGTCATTACGTCGTTTGATGGACCCAACCGGTACAATGGTAATTTAAAAAAAAAACAATATCACGTGTTAGGCTTTTCCAAGTACACCCATACTATCAATTTTCAAAACTATGATCGTTTATTATAATTTTTAAATTGTTTATCGCGAGTATATAATTAGATTAGTATTTTCATCTTTCTTATATTATGATATTATGTGAAAAATATTATTATTAGTTAAAGTATTAAAAAAAACCAACATCATGTAAACAGGATAACACACAACGGTTACGTCACTAAAAAATCCTGTTTTTGTCGTTGACTATACTCGTTTAAATTTTTTTTCTTTAGTCATTGACATTGAAATTGTATAGTTATAATACATTTTGCTTTGAACAACTTGGGTCATAATTATTAGAACTAGAATTCATCAACGACTATTGTACTTCCTATCGTTAATAAATCTGGTTTTTAAAACAAGAATTACTATTATAAATATTATACAAAACAAAATAATAAAAAAGTTTTGCCAGATAAATATTAGAACAACTCGGTTTTGGAGTACCTACTGCAGGTTAATGCTTTGTAGATGGTTTTAGTTTTGGAAAAAATGTCATTACATAAAGTTATTTAAATAATAATATATTGAAAACGTATAAAACTTTCATAAACAAATACATTTGTCTCTCAAAATAACAAAACCATACACTCAAAACTGTCAATACAAACTATACAACTATGCCATCATATATTTCATACGACCTCTCAAAAAACAAAATCAAAATTTTATGAATAGAGATCCTTTTTATTTGTCAAGCTCTTTCGTCCAAGAGTGTCGAACAAATAATATTTTTTAAAACATTGTCAGTATAAAATTTAAAAATATCTAAAAACCAGTTCAATCGATTATTTATCAAAAATATTCAAACAAAAATAGGAGTATTAATATTAAAATTAGAGAAATGTCTTATAATCTTCTATCACAGTTCGTTTAAAATATTTCAAATACAAAAATGTCTGTACTTGTAACACATAACATACATATCCTTTTTTTTATTTCGTGTCCTTATATTAATACATAACATGGATGCTATTTTGAAAATTTAACACTAATTTTTGACGAAATAAATTACTTATTGACATTTACTTTCATTCGACCTGATACCCCCTACACACAATTGTTATTTAATAAAAGAACTAATTTGCATTACCAAAAAACAACAATAACCATCAAAAGAGCTATCGCCGACAATTGAAAATCACATTACTACTAAAATGTTATTTTAATAAAGTCTTTCGGGTTTGAAATGTTTAATGTGTTTACAGAATTAATATTGTTAAAAAATTATTACTTTGCCAAGGTTGAGGACTAAGGTTACCTCCCCATTTTATGCATACCAATTTAATTCTGACGTTTAAACGTCTATTTATGGCGATATATTTTAGAAAAAACCTGTGTAATTTTTACCAATCAAATATAATCTTTACTGGTGTTTTTTAAACGACTACAGCTTAGTACAACTGACTAAAGTAAAATACAATTGAGTCATGTTAATTTATTATATTTTACGGGTTATTCCGCTGCTGGGTATAAATAATTTCCAAACATACGTCAGTCTGTGGTCTCGAACGAATTGCGATGATAGAGGCAATAATATAATATGCAACGTTGAAACACAATATAACACTGATTTTAGATCCATCAAGTAACTCGAATTTAAATAACACATGTATCAGCCACATTTCGACCTCCGCCAGAATGTCCATTCGGGATCATGCTGCTGAGTATTTGCCATTTGTTTTTTATTATATAAACATAATATTATTGAGTCCTACGCTTTTTTGTTTTGTTGAATGATGAAACGTCTGGAGTTCTAAACAGTGGACAACGCATGAAAAAACGTTTTAATATTATATTTGGTTAGTCCACACGATTATTGCAAAACTTACTATATTTTGCGAAATGGCAATTATTTATGAGTCAGCGTTGAGGTTCGTTTCGCTGTATAATATGACCAAATCCGAAAGACGGATGCGATCCATCATAAAACAAACCTATTTACAAATTGTACAATATTAATCGGTGTACTATATTGTTTTCGAACATACTTTACAAACACATACGGTTAATCGGCGTAAAAAAAAAAAAATACCAAACAGGATATTCGACATCAACTATTTGTACGGTTTAATACCGTACAAAATGTTTATAAAAAGTCAATAGATTCATACAAAAAAAAAAACAAATATGTTTTGCTACAGTCAACATTAATGTCAACGTGTTGAATTTAAGTATTAATTCACAAACATTATTGTCGTCGCACCCTGTGTTGTTTAGAATACATTTATTCATCTAACAGCGATTGTCGATTAGGTTAGAGAACTTTTAGTTATTTGGTACAAATATAAAAATTGCTGTATTAAATATATCGATGTGACGCTCCGCATCGAAGCTAAAATGTTTTGATAAACAAATTTTAATTGGGATAAAAAATAGCGTTTAGGTACTATTGTGCGTATCACTGCGGTTACTAATAAAAAACAATGGTCAACAAAAAGTGGCGAGAATCCAAAGAAAAGAGATGATCTTTTATTTACAAAACACACTGTTGGGTGAACAGCTTGTTTGATAAAAACGTCATTCGGACTCTTTTGGTCGTCATCGCATCAATTACTTGCTATTGGAACATTCGGATTCGAAACCCACTCGTACTAATTATATCATGTCCAACGAACAAAACGGTGTTTAATTATTCTCTAATCGTACCTTTTTTGGATCGCGGAATCGATTACACGGGCACACAGCTGACGGTATCCGTCCTTGACGACGTTGATTTCGCTGTCTGTTTCTGACACACAATCGACGGCGGTATGCTCAAATATTATCTATTCAGAACACTGGGCTACGCGCGGTTCCCGACACAAATAATGGCATGTTAACACTGAATAGGTTCAACACCGGACGGACCTATTCGGATAGATCTTCTGATGTAAGCGATTACGAACCGACTGCGTGGTGCACAACGCGAGGTCCGTGAGCTTGGCCGAGATCGACAGACCATCGCGAAGGATAGTGGTTGTCCTTTAGACGGCGACCCGGCAGCGATACGCAGAGGAGGTACACAATGTAGAAAACAAAACTGGTTTTTTTTTTCGTACCGGTTTGACCCATGCGCGGTATTTAGTTCCTCGTTACAATAAAAATAAAAAAAAAAACAAATTTTCTACTAAATACCGGAATGTAAACACGACACTTGTTATAACTGCAGCGACTACACGGATCGACGGCGAGACATTTTCACGGGCAATCGCTAAAACCAGACGACTTCCGAAACGCTCCTTATAGTTTTAGCGGCCAAGTCCTTCTTTTCCGCAAGTATCAGTCAGCACACCCGTATAGCTCGTATGCTACTGTATAACAGGTGTGCCGCCTATACTGTAACCGCAAGTCGTGTTCGGCTTAACAGAGATGTGTATTTTTCGACCGATAATTAATGAGTTTTAGCCTTGGATCCAGCGTACCCAGTCATTTTTGTGCGATTTTGTTTTTTTGTCAGCTGAAACGTGAGAAAATGTATAAATATTCTTCATAATTATGTTGTTATTGTTGATAATAGAGAAAACATAATATTGTTGTTCTTTTGGGAACAAAATAGGAATAAATATGTTTGTTGTGCTCGTGTTATCGATGGTTATTTTCCATGTTTTCGGTAACAGTATTAGAACACTTTGGTTGTTTATCTATTTGACATTTGCCAATCGTTTTATATACTCCACACAAAACTATACAATTATTATCATCAGTTATACAGCTCATATCCAAAAAACAAAAACCCGGGATGTCGATTCCATGTAAAACGATCGCCAGAGTTATTGAACCAAACGAGAATGTCTTCTACGGCATGCCGACTCCTTTAACACCGGGTTCTTTACTATAGAATCTTATGTAAGCACAATTACTATCGAATCTTAAGGTCATGTCCGACGTTGTTATTATATAAGTTACCCACGAATTACATATTTGTGTGGTAAGCACACCTTCGCGGCATTGTATAACAATAATAAAATACATCATTTGTTACATTTAGGACACGGGTCATATAGCCCGCCGAAACACAATATGGGCAAATTTTTTATGACAAAAAATATTTATATCAAAATTGTTACAATTTTTTACACAGAAAGCCAATTGGCAAGCTAACGCAAGTCAATCCCAAAATGAGTTAGGGCCGTATTCGAAAAACTATTGTAAATCGTTGCAAGGACATAATAATAACAAAACTTCAAAGTCGCATAATATAAAAGTGACACAGGTAATACACAATATATTATAATGTAAGAGCCAAGAGGTAAAGTCACGTATGAGCCCGAAGTGTCAGGTTGATAAACAGTCATACACTAACATAGTGTATTCTGTCATTGTAAATTAATTTACAACAAATTTGTATTTTACTTGAAAAATTTGGCTTTTTCATTTTTCTCTGACTAACAAATTTAAAAAAAAAATTATCTTTTACATCATAGAAAACATTATATTTGTATAAATAATAGCAATGCTATATATTTATAGTATACTGTTTACCAGTGTGATATACCCAAGATCCTTACGGATCTTATGGCGGACTAACAAAAAAACCATTAGTCAAAAATCCTGTTTTGCGTGTAACTGAATTTAGGTAATTATTTCTGATGATATATTATGTCTATTATCAACATTAAATTGAATTTATAATACTAAACACGTTACCTATGAATACATAATAATACGTATATATCGACACGATTAATTCCTATGATTGCGATTTAATAACATAGTATCTAACGTCTGTTTTTAAATTGTTAACATAATAGTAATATATGGGTACATTGGTGCACGTGCACAACATTTTGTGATCTAATTACTATTATTATATTTACTATTCGTCATCAAATTAAATATAAAATAAAATCAGTTATTAATATATACTTATGTACGTATTAATCGTTACGGCGTTAATAATTATTAATACTCGAGCCTCAATATACTATGGATATATCCATATTCGTATCGTTGTGTATTGCACGGTAAACCCGTGTGCAATGATTATATTATAATTACATGTATATATATGCAAGTATAGTATTTCTACTAAAACATGAACACTAATTACTCTATTGTTAAGGTTCGGCTGGCAAGACGTACACAGATGGAATACGGCGCGCGACGGCTCTTGGACTCGAACTGGTGGAGAACACAAACAACGGCCATTCACTACCGACTCCGACTAGCTTGAGGCATCATCATCGATCAGCTGTTCGTGATCACAATACTATTATCACTTTCTAATATTCGATTTCAGTAACACGCGCCGTGTTGTAACACATTGTCTCGGCCCGATAATACCTTCTGTACCGCAGCACCGGCTTTGTAGGAGTCTGCATTTTTTAGCATCTGTGTGTCCGTCACACAAACAATGCAAAACTTATAACCGCTAAAAATAAAAAGCAAATAATTACCAATATAATATAGTATATTTGTTCATTCAATAATAATTACTCGCGGCGTTACCCTTGACCGTTGTGCCAAATCCGTATAAGACGGTCAGGCACCGCTAGCCCGACGTCGAGCGTGACAAAAATAATAATAATTAACAAATTGATAATAATATAAAATAAGTGCGCATAATACGAATCATTGTTCGATTGTCTTTTAGGTTATATATGTATAATACTCGTTTCTATTCTAATTCGGATATATATTACCGCAATGATAGTTTTATTTATTTAGTTTAGTTGATTGCCATCTTGAACGTTTCAAGTTATCTTCAAAACCAATACATGGTCATAAGCTTTTAAAATAATTTCTAACGGGAGGCCTGACGAGAATTGTGAACTTAAAGCCTAAAAGGTTCATCACAATGTTATTTTGGGTAACAGGGGATACTTTGCGAAATCACACATGCGTAAAGCTTGAGTCAGTGTATTTATGTATCCTGTTTATTTAAAATATCCGTTTATACTTTTTTATATAAATATTATACTAAAAATAATATATAAATAATTGATAATTGTATGTGTGCATACAAATGATCATATAATATATAATTATGTAAAATTACATTATTTAATTGTGTAAGTGCATATAATTTGATTATAGAATGTATAATCTATTTTATGTATTATAACATTATTTGATTATGTGCAAATGATTTTAGTGCATACAATATTATTATTACATATATACAACAGTTAATAATTGTGTGATTGATTGTAACAGATGTATTTAATTACATAATATGTATATATATATATACATACATTTATGTATATTAAGGTGGACCAAAACAAATTTTTTTTTGTTCTTCTCTTGACATTATGTTCCTTGGGGTAAAATAATATTTCCCTATTTTTTTCAGATTTTTAAAATTATTTTTAGAGGTTGTGAGCATCAGTTTTCCAAAACAATTTTTTTTTTAGTTTTTAATTTTTTTAAGGTATAAACATCCATTTTAAACAAAATGTTGCTTGTATACAAAATCATCATTAGAAAAAGAGGAATAAACCGATATTTTTTTTTTTTACAAAAAAAAACTACTAACCAACTAATTTAGGCTTTAGAATGTAAAATTTGCGAAAACATTGATATATATATATACCCTTAAAAGTACCCTCAAATATTTTTAACTTATTCCTCATTTAGTCGCGAAGAATTCCGATATACTTACATAACACATTACTCTAACAATAGATCAGAAAAAAATTAATTTAAATATCTGTTATGTCGTGCTAAAAATTTTAACCAGTGGATTCTCATAATCACCAATGTTTCGTTCTATGATTTCCATGCATGGTCCTAACAAAAACGTCCAAATGCGACAACATCCAAAACTATAAACAAAATTACATTACATTAAACTTTTGTTCTTATTTGTATAATATAAAAGTAACTAGTTCTTCACTAGAGATAGGAAGGGTACAAATGCCACTATTTTTAAGTCTTGAAAATGTGCAATATTAAAAAATTAATCTTTTAATAGAAATTTTGTGCAAACGATTTTTTTAAGTAGAGCTTTTATAATAAAGCTAGTAAAAGACTAAAAAAATTGTATTGTTAAAATCAAATTCATTGAATTTCTCTTCCAGTCTTTTTTTTTATTACGACTTATATATCGCTACAATAACATAACATAACATTATATAACTTATTCATAACAATTGAATAAGTAAATAACCATACAAAAACAAAACATTTTAGGAAGTGTTTGAACACCCAAAAAAAACACCTGAGTACGTGCCTGATAAATAGACCTCAAAACTGTCAATAAAGCATAAAAAGTAGTTTTTTTATTTTTTTCTATTAATAATCTATATTAGTAGTTTAGCCTATAGTACCAATACAATCTAGGACCTATCGATTAATCACTTGGAATAATCAATACACCTATAACAGCTGTATCAATGTATTGTTTCATCAATTAAATTAAAAGTAAATCGATACTACATAGTCAATTAAATAAATACAGTCAATAATTATAATACTATTGATTACATATATTATTAATAACGCACATGATTTTGTAGTTTGGTATTTTTACCAGCATAAATTAATTAAAACTAGAAGACCCCCAATTTCATATTTTAAAAATTTGATAGAACTTATTTATGTAGATAATAATTGAATAAAATATTTAATAAGATACAATTGAATTAATAGTATTTAAAAATCGACTGCGGGCGAAGACTGCAACAAATATTAAACATATTCGTTAAATCTAAGAATATATTTTTTACACAGTTATTGTTTAATGTTTGTAATAAGTAACTCAAGTTACATCAATTACCATCATAAGCAGCATTACAACAGTTATCCTAATTTTTCTTTATAAAATAATTGTTTACTCATACTTACAGGATCCAAAGCTCTGAATATAAATATGTTCTATACACTGGTTGCAAGAGCTTGGCGCTGATCATCAGACTTAGGGAATACAACCTAAAATCAACAAAATTACAATTAATAAATAAATATCTAGTTAATTTTTTATATTCAGTTATATTTACCTTTGGCCCCTCTCCTTCGTCATCTTCTTCTGGA